AGTTCCCCATGCTGATCCGCCTGGGAGGCTGCTCAGATACTCCATGTGGCAGAGCACCAAATCCTGCCTAATCAAGGGGCCACGCTGGCAGACTGCCACACACTCAAACTCAGCTTAAATGAAGTCCTGCATGTAAATTATCTGCTCTTGTTGGGTCCCAGACCAAAGGACAATGCTCACCCTCGAGCCAGGAAGGGTTTCCTTGGCTGCACCCCAGCATGCAGGAAGGAGCGACCAAGTGTTACAGCCAACTGTAACTAGCCATGTTCCTCTTTATCAAGGTCCTGACTTCATTTGAGCAAGTTCGGCATCCTGTGCCCACAGATTTCATTCCTGGCCTCTGCCTCACCCCTGGGGAGATGTCAGGGACAAGCGGCTCAAACTTCACAGCACACCAGACCACTGGCCCTGGATGCTGGACTTCAGAGAAAGCTCCATCAGTGTAACTTCTAAGGCCCCCATACTTACTCGATATCTGCTCCAGCAATGAAAGAGCCTGGTTTTGAAGAGATGAGGACGGCACTTTTGACAGCTTCATTGGCCCAGATCTCATTCATTACATCAGTAAACTCGGAGTTCAGTTGTCTGGATAGAGTGTTCACCTGAAGGCAGCAAACAAGCACTGTAGATGGGGAGCCCAGCAGACAGTGGGGTTTAACCTCAGATTATGGCCTGGACTCAACCATCACATCATCAGAAAACCTGCACAGAAGACAAACTGACAACAAAAAGCTATAAACCAATAGCAGGTCTAAATAGATTTTCCAAGCCAGTTGGAACAGCAACTCTACAGCCTTTCAAGATTTGCCTTCTGAAAAGTAAAGGACTAGGCCATCCAGGAATTCGCCCAACTGCTGGACCGTTGCTTGGCACAATTATAACACTTCTGGGGTGCCCAAATTGAGCCCAGATTTGTTATCAAAAGTTAGTTCATCTTGTGTCATAATACAGCAAGAAAGAAACCTCCAAGATTAATGTACTTCTAAGCTGGTTTTTTCTATATAATGGACACTTTCCTTAACCAACCTGAATCCAAGAACTTAATAAGATTCAGTGTTATCTTGTGCCAGAGAGAGAGACAAGTTAGCTTGGTATATGCAAAATATTTCCATGAGGCATTTTCAGATGTCTCATTAAACACCCAAATGCTCGTTTTCCTATTTCTACTTTGCTCACAAATTTGAAAGGCTGCAGGTTAGGAAAGTTCTTAGTCTTAAATTAGACTTTTCAATGCCTTCTCCCTACGACTGCTATTCCTGCCGTTTCCACCGATACACCTATTAGCCACAGCCACATAACCAAAAACAGTACCTTTGAATTTGGTGTGTTGAAGCGTACAACAGCAACATCTCCTTTGATATCATAGCTAACATGGGTTCTAGCTGGAAACAAACAGAAATGTGTTATCAGCTTAGGCTCGGTGGATTTTAAGAAAGAAGATGAACTCTCATAGAAAAGTTTTACACTTACTCTGAAGAGCAGTGGAGGTGGAGATGTTACGGCAAGCATAACCTAAAGAAAAGATGTTGCAGATGTTAAAGGAATTCTCAGTAGTCACAGCTTAACTGTCCTTTATCAATGCGTCCTCCCATCTCCCCTCATCTGCTGAGTATAGCGTTTCAGAAAATCCTGAGTATGAGGCAGTTCCTTCTCTTATGGCTTGACCTGTGCCACCACCAGAGTTCAGCAGACTCCACGCTATTGAAGTGACCTTCACAGCACAGATTCCACACTGCAGCTTCCAACACCAGCAGTGCCAAATTGAGGGCATAAAAAAAAGGAAATCAAAGCCATCTCCCCAAAAAGCTGACAAAAGATGAAGAGGGTGGCACACAGAGGTGTTTTGCCTTTAGTATGCACAGTTCAACACTTCCTCACATGCTAAACCAGAGACTTTGCTGCACTCTGGAGAGTTTCAAGCCTGCAGGTGAACTTCTTTGTAAATCAAACATAACCGCCCTAGATATTTCTGCAAAAACACACTCCTGTGCCAGCAAATGGTGCCACCCCAAATATTACTTCACAGATCTCAGGGTGTGCATCTGGTGAGCCACAAAAAGAGCAGACAAAATATTTATCCTTGCCTCCATCTATCAACAAAATACTTGATCCATCTCTACTAATTACATATGGAAGCACCTAGACAAACTTGTCTTGTTTCAAAGCACTCCTAAAACTCAGACCACGGTATGAACAAGTTCTGTCCACAAGTGAAATGCCACTTTTCTGACTCATAAATCCCAGATCTCCTTTTCCTGCTG